AATGATACTTGCTGTAAAGATTTGTTCCCTCTTTTGAGGTACTGCATCCATAGGTGTAGGTCAAGTTCATCAAATTGTATCAGATTACTCTTTTTTTTCCTCTTCTTTCTTCTTCTAGTTGAGTTTTGATCATCCAGCCATTGAAGCCAGGTCAAGTGGGTACTATCTGCAAGTGTGGGTGTTCTTGTGCATATGCCCTCTCTTCTTATCAGCTGGATGTTTCACTCTCCACTCTAGTTCTCTGTGGCTATGTCACTGACTCTGGGCCCAAGATTCCTCAGGTCTTGCCACACTGCTGACCAACCAGGTCTCCACCCACGTTCCCAGGAGTCTATTGAACGTGGTAAGGCTTAGCTTGCTGCTTCATTGCTGTTTTTCCCTTACTTCCCCTTATCGGTGACCAACATGGTCATCAGGCAGAGTGCATGTCTGCTCGTGTATTCTCATTGAGTCTTAGTCTTGGAAGATGGTTTGCTCTGAGGGGACCTGACCACTTGCCTTGATGTCTTCTGGACGAGCAACTTGCTTGTTCTTGTAGTAGTCAGTCGGACTACCATTATTGTTTTATATTTTTACTATTGGTCTTTCTTTCAAAAATTATCTTCTGTTCTTATAGCAGCTCCAGGTTGGTCCGCTTGTCCTTTCCAGGGGAAATTTCCCACCTCAGAAGATTCTGGATGGGGTTCAGGATTCCACCTATGGTCTTATGTAATGCAGAGGCTCCATAGGAAGCCTTCTTCACTAGGCACATTGTAGCCCCATTTTAGGTATTCCAATCAGTTATAGGCAGTAGACGGACTTACAAGCTTTCTATGGTGATATTTCTGGGTATTCTCTCCATACATTTTTGACTATGCACCTGTCAGTATCAATTAAAAAAAAAGGAGAATACACTCCTTACTAAAGGCAAGGTGTGCTGTGTAAAGCAGTCACAAAAAGTGGAGATTACAAAGGTGAGCATTTGCTCTAGACTTTGTCCTTATAGTACAAGGTTTGGGGAACCTGCCATCTTAAGAGTGCACACAGAAAAGAGAGAAAAGTGAAAGACGGAGGCGTCACATTGGAAGGAGAAAGCAATATGTAACTGAAAATACTTGCCCAGCCTATGTTCTTGTTCCTTTTGCTCCTGATAGATTTGTTTTGCGTCTGTGTTTCAATGTCATTGTCTTTGTTTTTCACTGCAGTCTGTCCTTGCTGCTAAAACTGGTCTGTCTATCCTGAGGATCATACTTGGACCCTTTCCCAGGGTCTAAGCCTGACATTCATGTATTGCTTAAATTCATTTTATTTAGGTCTCTATCCACTGCCTCCCCCCAGGCCTCCTAGCCTGCCACCTAAGCTGAGTGGTACCTTTTAAGATGAACATGCAGCTTTTTGGAAATAACTCACATCCTTTTCCCCGTCAGGAGGGATTTGTTCGCGTTGACCGAGACTATGTGCTGAAGTCTGCAGAGCTGGCAAAAGCTGGAGGGTGCCAGCATTTCAACTTGCTGTCCTCTAAAGGAGCTGATAAGTCAAGTAATTTTTTGTACCTGCAAATTAAGGTTTGTACACATGTCTATGCTTAGTACACTTTGCAGAACCCTTGCTAATTGGCAACTAAGTAATACAAGAAGGTATTAGTGCTTCACTGGTAGAATTCTCCCCTTCCATGTGGGAGACCCAGCAGGAGAAAGATGAGGCTTTCTGCTCCCGTAAAGATTTACAGCCTTGGAAACCCTGTGCAGGGTCGCTATGAGTCGGAACCGACTCTTCAGCACATCACAACAACACCCTGTGGGAGACCCAGGTTTGATTCCCAGCTAATGTAGCACATGCACAGTCACCACCTGGCTCTCGGTGGAGGCTTGTGTGTCACCATGATGCTGAACAGATTTCTGCAGAGCTTCCAGGTTAAGATGAACCAGGAAGAAAGGTCTGGTGATCTACTTCCAAAAGTTAGTCAGCGAAAACCCTCTGGATCACAGTGCTTTGACCCTCAGTAGACCGTGGAGATAATGAAGGACTGGACAAGCATATCAGTCTGTTGTGCATGTTGTGCCCAGGAGTAGGGGTCAACTCAAGGCAACTGCCAATAACTAATAACACCAAACATTGTATGCATTGTATTAAATATTTTTTATGGCTATAGCTAAGGAGCTCTGGTAGCGTAGTGGTTACGAATTAGGCTGTTAACTTCAAGGTCAGCAGTGCGAAACTATCAGCAGTTCCATGGGAGGAAGATGAGGCTTTCTGCTCCCGTAAAGATTTACAGCCTCAGAAACCACGTACAGGGTCGCTATGGGTCAAAACCGACTCCACGGCACATACAACAATAACAACAAAGATTTATAGCCTCGGAAACCCTGTGCCAGGGTTGCTATGAGTCGGAACCGACTGCATGGCACATTAACAACAACAACAAAGATTTACAGCCTTGGAAACCCTGTGCAGGGTCACTATGGGTCGGAGCTGACTCCACAGCACACCACCACCACTGCCACAGCTACAGCCACTCTATCTACTGGGACATTTTTAGTATTCAGGAGTTATTTGAAAGATCATTTCCAGTGTGTTTCCCACTGTGGATTATCCAGTAATCCAGTGGAATAAAATGTGGTGATTCTGGCCACGACTGTCATCATGGAATCTTAGCATTGGAAAAAACTTTGAAGCAGGAATTCATACATTTTCCCCTTCATGTTTCCCTATTGGCTGAGGAGAATGATCTAACACTTCTCTAGAGATCTGGGGATATGTAGCCTGAAGCATTCTACTAGGTACAATCCAAAGTTCTTAGAAGTCTTCTGTTTTATCTTTAAAAAAAAAAAAAAAATCCATGCACATTTTGCTATTCTCAGTAATTGTCTTTATTTTAACAACAACAAAAATGATTTCCAACTTCTGACCTTTAAGTTAAGTGAGACTGCAGGAAGACAGATCATGTGTCCTCATGCCATCGTGGGCCTCCTGCTACACTCCCACGTACGTACTACTTAAGAAGGTCCTTCCGATGAAGAGCGTTCCACTGTGAAGCCCTGGGATAGATGGTCACTTGCTTCTGGTTGACACCTCCCAATTTAGAGTGTGGGGATGTTTGCACAGCTTCATGGGTACACTGCAAATCATTGGTGCTTAAAAAAACGAAAACAAACAAAAGACAACTTGTCCAGATGTGACAGGTTAAGTGCCAAACTCAAACCCAAGCCCATTGCCACTGAGTTGACGCCCACTCCTAGCGACTCTATAGGACACAGCAGAACTACTTCAGAGGGTTTCTGAGGCTGGAACTCTTTACAGAAGCAGTCTGCCTCGTCTTTTTCCCATGGAGAGGCTGGTGGGTTCGAACTGCCAACCTCTGAATTAGCAGCCCAGTGTGCCACTAGTTATAAACAGGCTGAGCAGGAACAGAAGCATGTGTCATGTGGGGCTGTCAATTCACAGGCTTTTGCAGGTGCCAGTGGCCCGAGCTCATGTGGCACCTCTGTTCACATAGATGCCTGGCACCAAGTCACGGCTGGTTTCACACATGAAATTTAAATCAGCATCCAGATGCAATCTCTCTCTCTTTTGAAATTTTGTGGGGTTTTCAAGAAGTGAGTAATGTAGATGGTGTATGGGTCCTCTTACCCACCGGACTGACTTGTAAACCAATAAAGAAATAAAATGGTTAATGTTGGCTAGTCCCACAGCATTAACTATGGACTAAAGGGGAGGTTGGAGACGTGGTGTGGTGCAGTGGGTTAATGCGCTGGATTGCAAAGTCAGTTTGAACTGAAAGGCCATGGTTCAAGATCACCAGCCACTTCTCGGAAACCCTATACAGGGTCGCTATGAGTCAGAACTGACTCAACGGCACTTAACAACAATAATCAATGGGAGGTTATTCTTTTATTATTAAACTCCTACTATATCACTTATCCTCTTGGCATATCTTTTAATGTGTGTAAAATGAGAGAGTTAAACTGACTATGGATCCCTGGTGTAGGATCAGCACAGGACTTTGAACCACAGAATTGGTGGTTCAAACCCACCAGCCGCTCCTTGTTATGAGTCGGAGTGACTGTATGGCACTTAACAACAATAACCGACTAACTATGCAGTCATTCACTCAGTCGGTTGGTATTTTGTAACTACTCACTATGTATCAGAATGAAATGATTTCTTCCTTAGCTTTCTGGGCTCTGTGCAATCTAAAATTCTAGAAAACTGTATTGATGTGCATTGACACCTGCCAGAGCAGAGTATCTTCAGAACCCAATTTGATCACCTCCGCCCCCAAATGATTCCCGCTGAAGTTGTGCAGAAAGTGGGTCTTAATGAAAAACTGAAAATGTGTTTTGCTGTTTATTTTTTTGTGTGCCAACAGGGAGAAGTGGAAGCCAGGGTTGAAGAATTAAAATTCAATCGTTACTCCGTTTTTAGACCTGGGTAAGTCTCTATACTGCCTAAGAGTACACCATTATTATTCATTCCCTGGAGCAAGTTTTTCCTTGGAGAAGCTGACTACGAAGATATCTAGTATTTGGAGATTTGTCTCTCTGAAGGACCCACTATTTTGGCTTTGAAAAAAGGGATAGACACCTAATGGTGCCAGCTTCAGAACAGACTGGAACTTCTGGGTAGCATTTGCTGCCTTTGTTGTTTAAAATTCCCTTCAGGCACCAGATAAGCCTTCAGCCCATTATGATCTGATGACAATTTACCCTCTTTTCCTCTGCTTCTCTTTCATTCTGTAGAGTTCTGTTATGTGATAGGGAAGAATCTCGCCCTGGTGAATGGTTGATCAGGAAATTCTTCGGCTCCTTACCAGAATCCTGGGCCAGTGCCCACTCTGTGCCTGTGGTGACCGTGGTGAGGGCGATGTTGAACAATGCCGTGAGACCAAGCGACAAGAAGATGGAACTGCTGGACAACATGGACATCTATGCCCTGGGGAAAGCTGATGACACTCTCAGGCCATAACTACAGTGGAGAAAATGCTTCTTATTGTAATGTTTAACATCCACTACCAAATACTGAAAAAGAGCATGTTTTAACTTTACTGGTTTACTATTCTCAGCCAGCCATAGCCAATCAAGAAATGATTATACTCCGCACCAGTGGCTTAGAGTTTTGGTTGTATATACATGTAGTTCATCCAGCGAGCTTCTGAAGAAGAGCAATCAGTAGGCCCCACCTCCAGCAGAATCAGAATTTGTAGAGTATGGGCATAGGAAACTGATTTGTGTTGTTTATGCCTCCCTTGGCGATTCTGATGCCATGTGCTTTGGAAACAGTTGTCTGCAGAGTCCCAGCAGCCATGTAAACCTTATGTACCATGCAGACAAGCTCGGTGCTGAAATTACTCACATAACTGTCTCAGAGGTTGCACAGTGCTAACTGTATTTAACTGTGTAAATGAACATTGTGCCTTTACTAATTCTTCAGAATGTATAATAAAAATGGGCTCTCACAACAGGTTATATATAATTCATGTAGAGAATTAAACAGAGGGATAAAAACGCATGCACAAGTCTTGAGTGCTGCATAGACAGATTGTTAGTAAATGCCTGTTTCAGGAGTGATAAGCATAGTAGTTACGAATCAGGCTGCTAATCTCATGGTCAGCAGTTCAAAACTACCAGCTGTTCCACGGGAAAAAGATGAGGCTTTCTGCTCCTGTAAAGATTTATAGCCTCAGAAACCCTGTACAGGGTTGCTATGAGTCGGAACCGGCTCCACGGCACGTAACAACAACAACATGCAATAGCTTAGCCAATGGGATGACATAAATAGCAGGTAATACATATCTGGCCCTTGTTAAATGACAGCTTTGCATCTGTTACCTGTACTTTAACCCTTCAAACAGTATTATAATGTGAAACTAGCATTATCTTCATACCTTAGATAGGGAAGCACTTGTCTGCCGAGACCCAGCAGCCATGTAAACCTTATGTATCATTGTGGTTAAGTGCCTTGGTCAAGGGTCCCAAACTGAAGACCTGAAGCTAAGAAGTGGCAGAACCAGAAGTCTAACTCAGATCTGACCACTTCCATAATTTATATTTTTATTTGTTTTAATGCTTTATTGTGAATTATGTGATAGTTCACATGGGAGGACATCAGCTTCACATTGATCCCGTCGTATATCGTTCCCTTGCAATGGTTACAATCCCTTCCATGCATCATCCATCAACCAAAGAGTATACCCTGCAAGCCTGCCCCCCAGTCGTCCGCACACAGCCCCTCTCCTCTCCCTCTCCTGGTCCAAAGTCCCCAGCCACTCCATCTCTCCATGTCATCTCTGCCTCCATCCTTGGCATCACTGCTTCTCTGGGTGGGATTCCGTTCTCCATTCTTCTCCTTTGATGGTCCCAGGGACCTCTGCTCCTAGACTGCAAGGTTAATCACTCCTCTTCCTTTGCCCCAAAACATCTGCCTTTATATTTCCAGCCTTACAATCAATCCTGATAACAGTTATTCACTATTATATCGCAAAAGACCTATCTGCATCTCCTTTCGTCAGCCTTGACTAGGCAGAATGGATACTACTCAGTGGAGATTCTACCTTGCTCCACGCCCTCTGGATCTAGGTTCCCTCTTGAAAGCTTGTAAGCCAGTCACTTCTTGCCTCTGTAGCCCCACCACACCCCATTCTGGGTAGCCAATGTCTAAGTTGCCCATCCCTGTCCTCTCCGTCTCGGAGGAGGTGAGAATGATCCGCTGTGAAGATTTAATGTTCCCTCTTTTGAACTACTGCTTCCATAGGTGTATTTCAAGTTCATCAAATTGTATCAGAGTACTCTTTTTTCCCTCTTCTTTCTTCTTCTTGTTGATCTCTGATCATCCAGCCATTGAAGCCAGGTCAAGTAGGTATAATCTGCAAGTGTGGATGTTATTGTACATATGCCCTCTCTTCTTATCAACTGGATGCGTCATTCTCCACTCTAGTCCTCTGTGGTTATGTTGCTGACTCTGGGTTCAAGAGTCCCCTGGATTTGTCATACTGCTGGCCAGCCAGGTCTCCATCCAGGTTCACAGAAGTCTATTGAGTGTTGTAGGGCTTAGCTTGCAGCTTTATTGCTGTTTTTCCCTCACTTCCCCTTATCAGTGACGAACGTGGTCACCAATCAGAGTGTGTATTCCCATTGAGTCTTAGTCTTAGAAGGGGGTTTGCCTTGAGGTGGACCCTGACCGCTTGCCTTGATGTCTCCTGGGCCAGCCATTTGTTTGTTCTTGTAGTAATCAGTTGGCCTGCCTATATTGTTTTGTATTTTTCCTGTCAGTCTTTCTTTCAGGAAGTATCTTATGTTCTTCTGGCCACTCCAGGCTAGTCTGCTTGTCCTTTCAAGTGGAAATTTCCCCTCAGAAGATTCTGGATGCTGTTCAGGATTCTACCTATGGTCTTGTGTAATGCAGAGGCTCTGCAGGAAGCCTCCTTCGCTGGGCACGTTGTAGCCCCATTTTAGGTTTTCCAATCAGTTATAGGCAGAAGACAGACTTACAAGATTTCTATAGTGGTATTTCTGGCTATTCCTTTCTCTACCCCTCCAGTGTCTATTTTATAGTGATAAGCCAGGGGAACCAAGATTTAACAGACAGCCAAGCATCTTAACATTGTTTCCCCCATTGTCCCCATTCAAACCATGTCTCAATCTCTGTATCCCAGAGCTCCGTTGTTCCAAGGTTTTGCATACATCATTATTTGCCTTTGTCCCACTTCAGCTTCAATTCATCCTATCGTATTTAATTTCATTGCAATGATTAAAATCCCCTCCGTGCATCATCAAATAACCAAAGGATATACCCCACAGGCCCGCCCCCTGCTTGCTGTCAGCAAACAGCTCCTCTCCCTCTGTGAGTCCCATGTCTCCAGCCATTCCATCTGTCCATGCCATCATAGCCTCGCCCCCACATCATTTTGGGTCTGGGCAGTTTCCAGCCCCCCACCCCCCTTCAAGGTATTCCAGTTAGTTATAGGCTGGAGACAGGCTTACATGTATTCTGTTGTGATGTTTCTGGGTATTCCCCCCTCCCCCACAGCTATAATAAGCTACTTTAGTCCTCAAACTGACATCTTTGCTTTAAAGAGGTCTTGTGCAGCAGGTCTGTCTAATGCAATAATATGTCACCTGATTTGACTTCTGCTTCCATGAGTGTTGATGGATCCAAGCAAAATGAAGTTTTTGACTACTTCAGTCTTTCTCCATTCATCATGATGTTATTTGGTCTAGTGGTGAGGATTTTTGTTATCTTTACTTTGAGATACAACCCATACCGAAGGTTGTAGTCTTTGATCTTTATCAGAAAGTATTTCATATACTCTTCAAATTCAGCAAGCACAGTTGTATCATCTGCATATTGCAGATTCTTAATGAGCCTTCCTTCAGTCCTGATGTCATGTTCTATTTCAATATAATCCAGTTTCTCAATCATTTGCTCAGCACACAGATTGAATATACACCTGCCTATTAAGGGGGGTGGAGCCCTGGCGTGGTGCTGTGGGTTAATGCGTCAGACTGCAAAGCCATTTGGACTACAAGGTCAGCAGTTCAAGCTCACCAGCTGCTCCTTTGAAACCCTATACAGGGTCACAATGGGTCGGAACCAACTTGACAGCACTTTACAACAACAATATAAAAGAGGGATGCCATCGAGTTGGAACTGACTCATAGTGACCCCATGCACAGCAGAATGAAACAATGTCCAGTCCTGGGCCAACCTCACTACTGCTGCCACACTTGATGCCATCAATGATGCCACTTGGCCAATCCATCTCATTGGGGGTCTTCCTCTTTTTCTCTGACCCTCCATCTTACCCAGCATGACATCATTCTCCAGTGACTGTTCCCTCCTGACAATATGTCCAAAGTATGAGAGATGGAGCTTAGCCATCCTGGCCTCCAAGAAGCACTCTGGCTGCACTTCTTCCAAAACAGATCTATTGGTTCTTTTGGTAGTCCATGGCACTTTTAGTATTCTCCTCCAACACCACAGCACAAATGCATCAATTCTTCTACGATCTTCCTTATTCACTGTCCAGCTTTAGCATCCATATAAGGTTATTGAAAATACCATGGCTTGGGTCAGACACACCTTAGTCCTCAAGCTGACATCTCTGCTCTTCAACACTTTAAAAAGTTCCTGTGCAACAGATTTGCCCAATGCAATATGTCGTCTGATCTCTTGACTGCTGTTTCCATGAGTGTTGATAGATGATCCAAGAAGAATGAAGTCCTTGACAACTTCAATCTTTTCTCCGTTGATAAGAATGTTGTTTATTGGTCCAGTGGTGAGGATTTTTGTTTTCCTGACATTGAGATGCAACCCATACTGAAGGCTGTGCTCTTGGATCTTCATCAGTAAATGTTTTAAGTCCTCTTCACTTTCAGCAAGCAAGGTTGTATCATCTGCATATCGCACGTTGTTAATGAGTCTTCCTCCAATCCTGATGCCATGTTTTTCTTCATAGAACCCAGCTGCTTGTATTATTTGCTCAGCATACAGGTTGAATAAGTATAGTGAAAGAACACAACCTTGTCACACACCTTTCCCAGTTTTAAAACATTCAGTGTTCCCATGCTCTGTTCAAACATTCCAAAGAGAGGTGACCCAATGGAATGCGGAAATCATCGGACAATCTCTTTGATATCTCAAGCGAGTAAAGTTTTGCTAAAGGTAATACAGAAACGGCTACAATCATATATTGACAGAGAACTTCCAGAGGTTCAAGTTGGATTCAGAAGGGGCTGTGGAATGAGAGATATCATTGCTGATGTCCGGTGGATCTTGGCTGAAAGCAGAGAATATCAGAAAGATGTTTACCTAAGCTTTATTGACTACGCAAAGGCTTTCTATTGTGTGGATCATGACAAGCTATGGACAACATTGAGAGAAGTATGAGTATTCCAGAACACTTAATTATACTTCTGAGAAATCTGTACCTGGACCAAGAAGCAATTGTTCGAACAGAGCATGGGAAC